GTATTGAATGTGACGTGTGTGCAAAATTTCAGGTCATTCGGACGAGGTTTGATAGACGTTTTGATCCAAAGCGTATTTTTAGAGTTTTTGGAATTCTTAGGCTTGAATCCGATGAAAAATAGGTGTTTTGATGTTGTTTTGACCGTTCCGAAGGTTGGAACAAGTTTGAGTGATGTTTTAGGATTGGTTGGCATGTTTGGTTGAGGTCCCGAGGGCCTCGAGTGTGTTTCGGATGCTCAACGGATCATTTTAAGTTGTAAAAAAGTTGCAGATTTTGTTCAGCTGTTGCAGAAGAATTTTACTCTTCGCATTCGCGAGTGGGCCCTCGCGTTCGCGAAGAGTCAGTTGAGAAGGTGAAAATTAATCCTTCACGTTTGCGAGGAAGGCACCTCGTTCGCGAAGGGCTAAGTGTTTGTACATTGCGTTCGCGTGGGTGGTGTCGTGTTTGCATAGAAGAAAATGAGTGGCTGAGTTTCAGTAGATTTAATGCATCACATTTGCTAGGTGGAACGCGATCGCGAAAGCCTGTCTGTGCAAAGCATCGCGTTCCCGAGGTATTGGCCGCGATCGCGTAAGACGAAAAATGGTCAAAATCATTTTGTGTTTCGCGAACGCGAGGGTTTGACCACGTTTGCGAAGAAGGAATTACCTGGGCAGATATAAGATTTCAATATCGAGGGTCTAGCCATTTTTATAAAAACTTAAGCATGGGAGCTCGGATTTGAGCGAGATTTTGAGGGATTTTCAGAGATATCGATTGAGTAACGATTCTAGACTCCTTTTGCTTGTAACCCATTAATCTAAACATGAATTCATCCTTTAATTTCGAAATTTGTATGAAAATTGAGAAAAGTTCTTAGACCAAGAAATTGAGTTTTGATTGGAGGTTTCACATCGGATTTGGATAATTTTGGTATGGTTAGACTCGTGAGAGTTTGAGGATTCTGAAACTATAAATTTTACCCGATTCCGAGATGTGGGCCCGAGGGGCGTTTTGGTCATTTTACCTAATTTTGCATATTAGCTTAGAATTTAATTGTGGAATCAGTTACTTGAAGTGTTATTTATATTATGCAATTAAATTGAATAGATTTGGGTCATTTGGAGTCGAGTACTCGTGGCAAGAGCGTAGTTTCGGGTTGACTTTGAGCCGGTTCGAGGTAAGTGGCTTGTCTAACCTTGTGTGGGGGACCTTCCCCTTAGGATATGATAGGAAAATTTTATTTTGTGTTTCATACAACTGACACTAGTTGTATGAGGCATTTTTTTTGTCTCACAGTTTTGTGGACCCAGAAGTATAAAATTGTGGTCCACAAATTTGTGAGACAAAAAGGAGCCTCACACAACTAATGTAAGTTGTGTGAGACACACCATAAAACTTCTCGATATGATATATTTGATAATTGAAATGCCTTGTACGTGAGGTGACGAACGCGTATTTGAGCTAATTGTTGAAATTCCGATTTTTCCTTAAGTATTTCAATTGAGTTCTTTTTTTTTCTTTTTTATTCTACTTCTGAATTTAGCCTGTTGCTAGTTTAGAAAAACATGTTTAGTTGACTTAATTGCCTATTTGCTTAAACTACCTTAATTACATTACGTGAAGCATGTTAGGCTAGAATTAACTATTTACTTGGTACGAAATTTAGCTTAATTGGGTATTCTTGTGTGCTGCTGTGTGTTTTTACTTTGGGACTACGGGACGGCATCCTGGGAGATCCCCTATACGTATTTATGATCTGAACTGAGGTGCGGGATACCAAGAGATCTCTGGCACGTATATTGAGGATACCAAGAGATTCTCAGGATACCGAGAGATCCCTAGCATATATTGAGGATACCAAGAGATCTTTGGGATACCAAGAGATCCCTAGCTAGCATATATTGAGGATACCAAGAGATCCTGGATACCGAGAGATCTCTAGCATATATTGAGGATACCAAGAGATCCTCGGGATACCAAGAGATTCCTAGCATATATTGAGGATACTAAGAGATCTTCGGGATACCAAGAGATCCCCGATTATTATCCTTGTTATGAGTGGTACTTCCTTGTGGTTAGCCTTCATCTCTGTTTCTGTTATTGTACTCTTATTGTCCTGTGTAGATTTTTACTGTAGATTTTCAATTGTAATGCTTATCTTATCTTGTCATCTTTATATTTATTTAATCTCAGTAGGGCCCTAACCTTCCCCATCACTACCCAACCGAGGTTAGACTTGGCACTTACTAAGTACCGCTGTGGTGTACTCATGCCTCTTCTACGCATATTTTTCATGTGCAGATCCAGGTACTGCTAGTCAGGCCTATCATCCTTGAGGAGGCGACTTCTCTAGAGACTTCGAGGTACATCTGCCGTGTCCGCAGACCGAGAAGTCCCTTTCTATTCCTGCTTTTAGTATTTAGCCCTTCTGTATTTTGTTCTGTTCTTATTAGACATTCCGGAGTTAGAGCTATGTAATATTGATCTTAGCTTGTGATTTGTGAGTTTTCGGGTCTTGGATGTATGTATTGGTATTGAGAGTTAAACATGGTGTGAGTCGAGCGGCACATTTAAACATTGTTACTACTTTATTTCTGTTTTAAATTGTTTTACTTCCGCAAATTTTGGTTTTTCTTCTGCAAATTAGGCTTACCTAATCGTAGAGACTAGGTGCTATTACGATGGTTCACGGAGGGCGAACCGGGGTCATGACAGTATCCAACTAACCGCTTATGCGGTCCTTCACTTAACGGCTAAAATCGCATTTGCGATCCACATTCTTCATCTGCGACATCGCAGATGTGGTCCTCATCACCGCTTCTGCGGTTTCCTGCGTACACCCTAACTTCCGCTTCTGCGACTCCTCTTCTGCATATGCGACATTGCACCTACGGTCCCCAATCCGCAGATCGGAAATACCAGAAGCAATAAAATTTGTAGCTGCAACAATTCCTCAAACTCCCCGTCAACCATCCGAAATCACCCCGAGGCCCCCGGGACCTCAACCAAAAGCACCAACATATCCCAAAATCTTATTCAAACTTGTACCAATCTTTAAAACACCTCAAACAATATCAAATCAACCAAAATACATCGGACTCAAGCCTAAATTCCCAAGATCTTCCGAATTCCGCTTTTGATCAAAAACCCAACCAAACCACGTTCGAATGACTTGAAATTTCGTACACACATTCCAAATGACACAACGGAATTACTGCAACTCTCAGAATTTCATTCCGATCCCTATATCAAAATCTCGCCTACCAACCGGAAATCGCCAAAATATCGACTTCGCCAATTCAAACCTACATCTACTCCGAACCTCCAAAACTTATTCCGATCACGCTCCTAAGTCCCAAATCATCTCCCGAAGCTAACCGAATCATCGGAACTCACATCCGAGCCCTCTAACATATAAGTCAATATCCGGTTGACTATTCCAACTCAAGCTTCCTCAAAAGAGACTAAGTGTCTCAAACCTTACCAAAATCATTCTGGATTCGATCCGACCAACCCGAGACCACATAACACGGATAAACAAAGCATAAAGAAGCAGGAATTTGGGAAATGGAGCGGTAATTCATGAGACAACTGGCCGGGTCGTCACACAAGTTACCACCGATCGGAAAGCAGTAGACTGTCATTTTGGTCTATGAATGCTGTTTATGATATGTAAATCTATTACAAACTTTGGTACTTGAAGAGATGTGACATTGAAAAGTCTGATGGTTCTAGGGGAGTAATTAGCTGCGCGGTTTGCTTTATAATGGTAATAACTGGAGTACTTGAAATGCTAAGAGTGAGTGCATAACTAAAAAAAGGGCAGCCCGCTGCACTAAGCTCCCGTTGTGCCCGGGGATTCGAGGAAGGGCCGGAAAAGAATTGTGGGGTGAGAGAGGCTCGAACTCTCGACCTCGGGATAACTCAGAAGCTATGAGACCTACACGCATAACTAAAAATAAAAAATGAAGATGAGGGTATATCTAAAAGAAAAAAGGAAAATGAGGAGTGAGTGCATAACTAAAAGACAACTCTGAATCCATTATAACAAGTTCACATCTCTGTAAAATGTCTTACATATGAAAATGAGGAATGGAAGAAAAGGAACGATGAAATTGAAGAGAAACATTGCAAAGAGAAAATGCATGAACACAACTTAATAAGAATTAATAGGAATTCCATTGAATGGCTCAGCACTCCAAGGCAGGTTGGAGCTAAACTTCCCGTGTCCTCTAATGACTAACTCACTTTGGACTTGTCAACCTCGTCCAACTCCACCACAATGCCAAATACATATCAACTTAAGATTCCTTCCCATGCCTACTATAATTCACGTCAGAATGCAAGGAGTCATATAACGTGAGTTAAACCTGACCAAGCTTCAGAAGGTTATCCATTCTTTTAACTTCATTTTCTCTTCTTATTCTTCCTCAAGAGATTTTGGGCCACCAATCGAACTGACTGCAGACAAAAACACACATAGAAAGAGAGAAAGAGAGAATGAAATTCCAGACCAATAGGTTCCTTGAGGCGTGATGCACATATGATTTTCTTTTTAGGTTAACGGTGTAAACGCTGTTAGAGTTTTAAGTAGTATAAGAAAACTCCCTGGGCGGCTTTGATTCAACGATAAAGGTAGCATAACGCGTAATGCATGGTAGGCGCACATCATGAGTTCGAATCCTAGCTAGTAAACCGTGTCTTGTATTTAAGTTTGTGTGTGTATATACACATATACGTTATACGTATATATGCACATAGAGACAGTTGCTAAGAATGTAAGAACCTCATATAAGATACTTGTCGTTGTTCGGTCACGGCTCATCACATCAAAACAATAAATACCACAAATTCCAGAAAAGACTTAAAGTATGTCATCTGGATAACTCTATCGAAAGAGACAATTAAAGATCACATGGATGATGCTCCTAGAAAAACGCAAATGCGAAGCATATTACGATAAACGAGATAATTGCGGGGCACAAGCAGCAGATGAAAGAGCAAGACAAAGAATCACCTTAGTGTCATCGGGCATCATTTAAAAGATAAGTCAACCTCTTCTCCTTCCGAGCCCTCACCGAATTGGATGTGTTGCCTGCACTTGCTACACGATGCATCGCAGATATCCCTAGAAACCAACCAAACGGACTTCAATGTTCTGTTTGTATTGCAAGTTCCAATAAATAATTTGTAATTCAGAAGAAGAAAATCGACCTACCTCATTAAAATCGCTCGCTTTCAGTCAGTAGAAACCCTTCTGCTCCTTGCTGGAATTCTTTTCAGGTATATCGACTAAATTCCATTTGTCTTCACGGTTGAGAATGAAAGCAGATTAAATTATTGGTAGAACTCTGTGAGTTTGTCTTCTTCCTTAAGGCCTTGATGCTTTGGGATGAAATGATCTTTTGAATTCTTTTTCCTTTTTTTTTTCCTCCTCTTTCTCAAATTCAAACACAAAACCTTGTCAATTTCTCATTTAACCACGGATTATTTCAAACGGTGACATTATTCTCTCCAACTTTGGATGGGGTAAGCAGAGTTTTTGGCCAATATTATTATCTTCGAGAGTAGGTCTATTTTGGCCCCTTAAATATAAACCTGAGCATATTTGGTCTCTTAAGTATGCTAACATGGATCACTTTTAGTCTCACTAACAGAATCTGTCCAAGATCAGTTACAGGTTTGATTTCAGCACTCACCGTCTTTCTAATTTACTTATCGAAAATATTTTATAAACCAACCCCCACTAATAGTACAAAGCTGATAAATTTAAGATTTTAACGTTGAAACTTTTACTTTTAACAATTTTAGTTGATTTTTCCAAAAATAAAAGTTAAAATTTGAAAAAAAAAATTGAGCTGCCAAGATCACTTCTAGGCATATTATTGAAGCAAACGAATAACCGATTGCATTGTCACTTTTAGCCCATGCCAGAAACTATTTACATCTAATAGCCGAAAAAGTATATAAAATTTGTATAATTGTTGTATATTAAATCACACACACACACACACACACACACACACACACACACACACACATATATATATATATATATATATATATATATTTGGCTATTATTTTTACAACGGCTATACAGTGTTATTTTCTCATTGAAAACTGCCACAAAAGGGGATATTTTCATGGTCAATTTTAGAAGACATTATCTAAAAATGAGGAATTAAAGTGATAATTTGTGTTATCCAATAAAAGGACAGGAAACGTTTTTCTTCAGAGTAGAAGATTTGCTTAACGAATCAGAGTTGACTAACATTGTTAGTTTTTAACACATTCTGTCAATGAGATTAAAGGTGCTCCACTTTAGCATACTTAAGGGACTAAATATGCTCAGGGTTATATTTGAGGGACCAAAATAAACCTACCTTCAAAGATAAGGGACAATATTGGTCAATATTGAAACTAAAAGCATGTTTGTAAATCCACCTAAGAATTGGAAATTATGCAATTTGATATATTTGTTTGGCCAAATAATTATATCGTGATGGCACTAGTGTTTTAACACTAGGTAAGCCTAACACTTACAGAATTAATGGCAAAATTCAACCAACAACTATTAAATATGAAACAGAAATTTCTATACAAAGCCAACAATCCTAAAATCGGTAGTACAATTCATAAGCTCTACTAAGTTCGCTAGAAAATCTCTAAATACAATTGTTCCGGAATAGAAATAAATTGTACACGATTAACTTCCGAAGGTGACTTCGAGGCCTACGAACGCGACGGCAAGTATACCTTGAAGTCTCCATAGCAATATCTGATCCGCTATCTAACAATCTACAGACTCCGAAGTACCTGAATTTGCACAAAAATATACAAAAGCATAGTATGAGTACACCACGGTCGGTACCCAATAAGTATCATGACTAACCTCGGTGGAGTAGTGATGATGTACAAGTCAAGACACTCACTAGACAAAGTAACATATGCAGTATAGAAGTATAAAGCTAATAATGGAAAACAGAAATCAGTAAATGACAACAAAATCATCATGTGATATAAACAGTAAAGCAACAAGAACACCGAGAAGAATCGTTGAAATCAAATAAGGAACACAGAGGACAATCAATTAATCAAGTCGTGCTAACATAATATTCACAACAAAATCACCCCATGATACCTCATCTCATAATCACAAGTCACGAGTCTCAACCCACCATCATGTACTCATGGTACCTCGTGCTCACATCTCGAATCACAAACCGCACAAACAACTCACATGTCAATATCTCAATCCACCCGGCATGATCACAGCCTCATATTCATAATCCGCCCGACACGGTCACAGGCTATCCGTCCGGCATGATCATAGGCTCACAATCACAATTCGCCTGGCATGGTCGCAAGCTCAATATCAACATGGAAACATATAATACAAGAACATATGGGCATGATAAATAAATGTCAAGTTTCATACTCCCGAGCTAGTATATGTGGCATGTTACGGTGTATGCTTATGCGAGTGAACTACTGCAGGCCAAGTCAACAAGTAATATCAAAGACATCGAGTAGCTCATCGAAACAACAAAGCACGTCGTGTAAGGTGTATGACAAGCACAAGAAAAGTCACACCATCTCACGAAATTCACCAACACAATGTCTCCAAACCATCACATATCATCCATGACATTGTTACCCTTATCTCTCCGATAGCCACCCATATCACTCCGTGTAATATCCACCTTTATCACTTCGCCCGGACAATAACATTTTCCACCCTTATCTCTCCGATAGCTACCCGTATCACTCCGTATAATAGCCAACCTTATCACCCCGCTCGAACAATAACACAATAGCTACCCTTATCACTCCGTACATTTAACAACGGTGAAATGCCACCCTTATGCTCCGCATAACAACAAAGGTGAAATGCCACCCTTATGCTCCGCATAACAATAACAGTAAAATTTCACCCTACTCCGCATAATAACAATCAAAACCATACAACAATTCACAAATGCTAGCATCACAACACCATGACGTATCAACTCATAACACTAGTGCCCATAGGCCACAACCTTTCTAAAGATCCAACAGTATTAATATTTTCACAACAAATAGCCTACGGCTCAAATACAATGTGTATAAAATCTCAATAACAATAGCATGAATGGGAAAGTAACTCAACAAGGAACGAAATCCCCTTTTTACACAACTTTAATCAAAATCGAGTAATGACTTTCGATAACATCAATTACAATTAATTGTTTAAGAATAAACTCAACAGCGAAAGTATTTCCATGAAATAGCAAACTTCGGCTCCTAGTGTATGAATTAGGCTAACAATGAAAGTGAGGACACGAACTAGTACTACGTCTAAATGCATAAGAATAACCCGGCAACAAAAGGGATATCATGTACAACAACTTCGACTAAGAATAACTCCACAATAGAAGAAATCACACAATGATAAAAGTGATAACAACTTCATATAAAGCATATAAAAGCAAACTCGACAAGTAAAAAATGTGACATGTAATGACAACTTCAAATAAATCATGTGATAATAGACATGACGAACAGAAGATACAACATCTGCTAACAATTCCAAATGAATACATGAAAGAAGTCTAAGAGTCTAAACCGGTTAATTTCCACATATAAGCCCGAGTATATACTCGTCACCTCGCGTACACATCTTTCATATTACACAAGTAGCACAAACGACTCGAATCCTAAGGGGTAATTCCCCCACACAACGTTAGACAAGATACTTACCTCAAAGAAGTTAAACAGATACTCTAAAATGACCTTCTCATGTGAAATAATCTCCGATCGGCTCAAATCTAGCCAAAATAACTTAATATCATAAATAAAAACCATAGAAAATAATTCTGGATAATAAAGCTTCGATTTTTAATGAAAACTAAAAGTCAACCCAAAAAATCAATCATGGGCCCGCACCTCGGAACTCAATAAAATTTATAAAATCCGAACACCCATTCAATTTCGATTCCGACCATACTAATTTCATCCAATTCCGACTCCGAATCGATATTCAAACCCAATTATTCTCTTTAAAAAAGTTTTGACGAAATACATAAACCGCCCATTTAAGTTGTCCACAACGATCAAATGAACACCTCAACTAACCGTATTACCAATTAGACACTTTTTCTCAACAAAAATGTTACCTTGTGTACACTCGAGTCTAACATATTACAAGCGTGAAATATAATCGCGATGAGGGTGAAATGTCACCCTTATACTCCGCATAACAACAATAGTGAAATGTCACCATTATACTCCGTATAACAAGAACCAAAATCACACAACAATTCACAAATGCTAACATCACAAAAACACAACGTATCAACTCGTAACACAAGTACCCATAGGCCACAACCTTTCTAAAGATCCAACAATATCAATATTTCCACAACAAATAGCCCACAGCTCAAACACAATGTGTATAAAATCTCAATAACAATAACATGAATGGGAAAGTAACTCAACAAGAAATGATATCCCCTTTTCACACAGCTGTAATCAAAATCGATTAATGACTTTCGATAACCTCAATTCCAGTTAATTGTTTAAGGATAAATTCAATAGTGAAAGTATTTCCATGAAATAGTAAACTTCGGCTCCTAGTGTATGAATTAGGCTAACAATGAAAGAGATGGCATGAACTTACGTCTAAATGTACGAGAACAACCCGGTAACAAAAGGGATATCATGTACAACAACTTCAACTAAGAATAACTCCACAATACAAGATTTCACACAATGATTAAAGTGAAAACCAACTTCATATATAGCATATAAGAGCAAACTCGACAAGCAAAGAATGCGACATATGGCGACAACTTCAAATAAAGCATGTAATAATAGACATGACAAATAAAAGATACAACATGCGCTAACAATTCCAAATGAATACATGTGTCACGACCCCAAATACCCAGTCGTGATGGCACCTATCACACTACTAGGTAAGCCAATACCCCGGTTTTGAGTAGAAATTTTCACGGGGCCTTACACCAGGTAGCCTCATACACGGGCCGACCTCTCCACTGCACTTTCACTGAAGCTATATCCTTTGACCTCAACTTTCGAACCTGACGCTCCAAAATAGCCAATGGCTCCACATCATAAGTCAAATCATCATCCAACTGAACCATGCTAAAATCCAAAACATGAGACAGATCGCCAATATACTTATGGAGCATAGAAACATGAAATACCGAATGCACACTCGATAGGCTGGGTGGCAAAGCAAGCTCATAAGACACCTCCCCAATCCTCCGAAGCACCTCAAAAGGCCCAATGAACCGAGGACTCAATTACCCTTCTTCCCAACTCTCATAACACCCTTCATGGGTGAAACCTTCAACAGAACCTTCTCATCAACCATGTAGGACACATCTTGAACCTTCCTGTCAGTATAACTCTTTTGTCTCGATTGCGTTGTATGAAGCCTCTCCTGAATCACCTTCACCTTGTCTAAAGCATCCTGCACCATGTTTGTACCCAATAGCCTAGCCTCACTCGGCTCAAACCTACTGACCGGAGATCTGCATCGCCTCCTATACAAAGCCTCATATGGAGCC